ATAATTGTAAGCCTTCAAGTCGTCTGTTTCAGAAATGAGTATTTTTCTGGCTGCAGAAGATGCCACTGAGGCTCACAAGTTGCATCAATGGCAGACACATTCAGGCAGGCCGTTAGAATCAGGCCTGGTTTGTCTTCACTTTGGAATTTACTATTGTATTTATCACTTCCTCACTGACATCCCCCTCCCACCACCCCATTGAGATTTGGCAATCTTTGGCAAAACCCAAAATGCCAGGCACAGTGCATTCACCTCTGTGTAGAAGGACTACAGGGTATTTTGCTCCCTTGTAGGAGAGATTGAGGAACAGGAACAATTCTTTGCCACCAAAACCCTGGACTACCTTTGGAATGGCTTCATCTCCTCTCCCTCAAAAGGGAGCAGCCCTGGAGCTGAAGAGGAGAAATTGTGACACCTGTGCCAGGTTTGCGGCAGGCCAGCCTGCCCCCCAGCAGGCAGCTGCGTGGGGGGGCCAGTTTGGCCCAAGTGCTGCTTAGTCAGGCTCTAACACCTCGCCAAGCTGCAGATGTGCCCAGACCTGCCACCACCAGGTGTCTGTCTCTGGGACAGGGAGCTGACAGCACAAATGTGATTCTTGCCTCCTGCTGTTTCCTGACACCTCAGAGGAATGCAGAGGACTCAGGAGAAAACACCACAGAAGGCCACCGACAGGACCACTGCTCTCTGCCCACCCTACTATGTCAAAAGGCTTTGCCTGCCCTGCCCCTTTGGCCCTCGCCCTGTCCTTCTGCCAACGGCCCTAGGGCTGGCTCCTCCTCCAGGTCACTGGTGGGCTCAGGTGAGAGGCGGCTACCTCCTCAGGCAGATTACCTGCTTGCCTGACCTGCTGTAGTATGATGTTCCCATTGTTAGTGCCCAAACCTCCATAGCTAAAAGGTGTTTTTGTTGTTTTTTTCTAATAGAAAAGATTCCCATGATTTAAAATATTCTTTAATTAAAAGTTTTTCCAAGCTCATCTGTCCCCACTGAGGAAAAACTTCTTGTGAGAAATAGTTTCCTAAGAAGAGGCTATTCTCTATTTAACAGAATTATTTATTAACAACCTGCAGGGGTCTTCTAGTGTGTAAATGTTAGAAAGTTTTACCTGCCCATTTGTGGACTTTGGATCCAACACAAAAGGTTGTATCTAATCTCTGTGTGTTTTTCACGAATTCCATTCAAAACTTAGGGGGGTTATGAGCTGTTCTCCATCAGCAGTGATGTTCACGCTACAAATATTTATTGCACATCTATTATGCGCTACAATCCCAGGCCTCAAGAAAACATCACTATATAGCAGTGTGCAAATGAACAGCACATTGGCCAGATTCAGTGTGCAAACATTTTGAGTCATACTGTATTTATAAAAAATTTGAATTAGTTGCCAACTTTTAAACATCATAACATTTACAGCTTCTCTTGAAAACTCAAGAAATCTGGCAATACTGAGCCGAGACATTCCCAGCTGATGACAAGCAGAGTAACTACTGGCCACTTCAGACAGGCACTGGCTCTGGGTTCACATGGCCCCCCACTTCCCCGACGCACCTGCCCAGCCCCTCAGCATTTGCTATTGATTCTCAGGATGGGGAGTGACAACATACCCTGGGAAATGCCTCAGTCAGAGACAGAGCAACCCAACCAAGCCCTGCCTCTCAGAAGAGCTGATTCTTACCTCCTTGCCATCAAGTCACAAAGATTTCATTATTTTTTATCTTCTCAATCTTTCCAATTTTTAACAAAGTTTCTTTTAGTCCATGGTAATGTAAAGTTAGGGAAGACAATCTGTTTTTATCACTGCCAAGACAAGGAAATTGCCACAAAAAGAAATGGAAAGGTTGAAACATAGAAGCAAAACGTGAGGACTTTGCAAGAGCAGGATGGGCTCTCAGAAATGCTCTCATTTGCCAGATGAAAAAGCTGAGGCCTATAGGAAGGAAAGGCCATGCCAGACCCTACTACTGGTAACCAGTAGGAAAATAGGAAAATGGTCTGGGTAGTCTTTACCCAGCCAGTAACACACTTCTGTGTACAGGCACCGGTAGTTTCTCTGTTCTTGTTTCCACTTACATGTTTCCAAGGAATGGCAGAGAAGCCCATCAGACCTGAGAAATAAATCTGAGGACTGATTCCAGAGGTCACTTGGTACTATCAGGTACGTGATTTTAAATGAACCTGTAAAGATTAATTAGTAATTTTTATCTCGACTACTGATTCCTTATATGGGGGTGCAAACTGTCATATGTGAAAAAAATGTATATCAATCTCAACGCAGCATGTTAGAAGAGGTAGCTTGTTTTCATGTTTTAAAATTACGTACTCCCAAAATCCTTCTTGTGTTTATAGCTACGAACAGAGTTACACAGTTGATCCTTATATTTGCTGCTGGCAGAAAGTTTTAGTAAAACAAATATAATTCAGTTGCAATTAATAGAAAGATAATGACCAAAACCTTCAATTGGACAGATTAAAGTTATTTAAGTGGGCCACTGCCTGAAACATAGACATTGTGGTGTATTTATAATAAGCATAGGTGGCATTCAGTAATGTTGTAACCAAGGATCCCTCTTGGTTACAAAATAATTGTAGGTAACAAATTTAAGTTAATCCAAAAATTGGTTTTAGGTGCAGCAGAAAGGAAAGGAGGAGAGCAGCATTTGCAGAACAGAGACTGTTTTATTTAGTTTTACCAATCTAGCCTGAGACAGGCTTTCATATCTGCTTTTATATATGAGGAAAGTGGAGCCAAGAAAGCTGACTTCCTCAGCCAGTTTCCAGCTGCTGGGAATGAGCTATCCCTAGGTCACTCTGACTTCAAAACCAAAGGTTTGTCTGCTACCGTATCTCATAGCACAGAAGCCACTAAGATGAGTAATGACCAAAGGAGTTAAGACAAGCACACATCACAACTAGGCTACAGAATGCAACAGGTACGATGAAAGAGGCAGAAAAAAGTGCTTGGGGGTCACAACAGGGCAAGAGCATATGGAGTGGAGGCTTGGTGGATCAGGGTAGGTTTTTGAGATGTGACATTCCAGAAAGTCCTTGAAAGATCCATTGTGTTAAAAGCAGAGAAGGAGGCACTAGAAGAAAGGCCTAAATACTAGGCCACAAAGGAATGAGAGGTAAGCAGTTTAGATGTAAAATGAATGAAGCAAAGCTACATCAAGAAGCCACAGGAAAAAAAAATGAATCTCCCCCCAGGGCAAGGTCCATGACCTGAGACAAGGAGACTTCATGCCTGCAAGGAAAGGCACCGCACCTCAAACTCAGGACACTCACCTGTGTGTCCACTTTGGGAGAGGCAGCAGGACCCGCTGGATCCCAGGAAGCCCAGACACCCACCTTTCTTCCTCAAGCACCCTGTTCCCTCCTTTCCCTCCCCTTACCCTCAGAGGCCTTCCACCTGCCTCTGCCGTCCACAGCCACAGCCAGGCACACTCTGGGTGGCTGAGGGCAACTCACTTCATCTTCTTTCCTCCCAGAGAGGGAAGAAAGAGCTTTGTTTCCTTCTCAAGGATCCTCACCAGCAGCAAGGCAGGTGGAAGAAACAGAGGGAAGAGGAAGCAGGACCCCCGCGCCCCCCACCCCCAGTCTAGCCTTTAGAGACTCCTTTTAAGGAGCTGAAAAGGCTGGGAGGGGCCTGCCCTGCCCCGGGGCAACAGAATCCCGGGCGCCGCTGCAGCAGCTGTGGGCGATCTCCCTCAGTTCCTGGGCTCCAGGATCCTGCGGCCTTCAGCCCCGCCGCGTCTGCTCTCGGGGGCATCTCCCGTGGGCTTCTCCAGGGCACCTCATTTCATTCCATCCCTACCATCCAATAAAACGCGAAAAACTTAATCCCATTTTACAACTGAAGCCACTGAGGCCCAGAGAGCAAAGCCGTCTGTCCTGGGAAAGTGGTTAAGCTGGGACTTAAACTCTTTAGACCACCCAAGCGAAGGTGGGGGATGGGGGCTTAAGTTATTAGGAAAACCTCCTGGAGACCCCGTTTTTCCACATCCCGGGACGCTCGTCCCGCACTTTCTCGGGAATGAGGTTTCTGCAGGCGAGGGCGGCGCTGCCTTCTTCGTCCGCGGCGGTGAGACCCCGAGGGCGCCCCGGGGTAGGAGGGGAGACCGAATCATCTCCTGAGAAAAGCGCCAGAGAACTTCAGAGCGTTTCGCCCTTCCCCGCGAGAGGCAAACACCAACACGTCTGTGTCTTTTACCAACAAGTGCCTTCAAGCCCGGCGGGGGCAGACACCTCCGCGCCGGCCGCCGGCGAGGTCTCCGCGGTCTGCGGGGGCCACGGCCTCATCTCAGCTGCGCTGATTTAGGGCGTTAGCGGGCCCCGGGACGCGAGGCTGCCTCCCCGGCGGCGCAGTAGCGCCCGCAGCGTGAGGCGACGGGGCGGTGGGGGAGGGGCGGAGGGGCGCAGGGGGCGGGCGTGCGGGCACACGCGGTGCGCGGCGGGGGCGGCCATTGCGCTACGCAGCCCGGGCGCCGGGGGAGCCGCCCACTTCGCCGGGTCTGGCCCCGACGGCCAGAGAGCGGATGCGGCGGCGCCCGCCGAGCCGGGGCGGACGCGCCGGGAGCCCCAGTACCACAGCGGTCGCAGGATGGCTGAGGTAAGCGCGGGAACCCTCTGCGCGCGGTGCCGCGGCCTGGACGCCTCTGGGCTCCGGCTCCCGTGAGTACCTGACGGCCGCCCCCCGAGGGCCACCTCCAGAGGGCCGGCTGGCCACCTGCGCGGCCCCGAGGCGCGGCGGGAGGGAGCGCGGTCTCGGACCGGGAGGGCAGGCGGGGCGCTGGGACCCGTCCCCGCCCGGCGTCCCGGAGCGGGTAAACGGTCTCGGCGCCCCGGCAGCGGGCGCGTCGGAGGTGCGGGCGGGCGAGGCTGTGGGAATCGGCGGGTGCCCTACACGCCCTCCCCGCCGCCCACACCCCAAACTTCGCCCAGGGCGTTGGGACTTGCTGTTCCCACCTGTGGGAGTCGACCCCTTCTGTCTTTTTTTCTTTTACCTCAGAATTTGTGAAAGAGCTGACACTTCACGCTGGCCGTCCTTCTCCCGGGGGATTGTTGCTCTGGAGAGCGGGGCGCGCGGCAGCCTCGGGTCACTCAGGAGAATTGCGGAGACCGGCGGGTGGCCGTGAGGGGGCTTTCCCGTCCACTGCGGGACAAGTTTTTTGTACACCAAAACAAAAACATAAAACCCACGACTGAAAAATCGCTAGACAGGTCCGGGACATAGAGCGAGCGCGGGCCGTGTGGCGGGCAGATTGGGCCAGCGTCGCGGCCGACTTGGAGTCCTCGCCCGGCTCCGCACCAGGCGGCGCGCCCTTCAGAAGGCGCTGGGACGGGGCTAGGGCGCTCGGGGTCCAGGGTGGAAGCCGAGCCGAGCCGCGTCCGCCGCTCCGAGGTTTCCCTGGAGTGACAGGAAGTGGGCCCGGGCTGCGGAACCCGCGGCTGCGCCCGGCGCTTCCTTCAGGGGTTTGCCGGGAAGCGCCCGGACGGGAAGCCCCCGGCCCCCGACTTCGAGCCCCCTTCACGGCCCGGCCCGGCTTCAGGACCCGCCAGCGCCGCGCTCGCCGGTCTCGGGAGCGCCCCGTCGGTCGAGCGCTGGGAGCCGGGCGGCGGCGGCGGCGGCGGGGCTGGAGGCTGGAGGCTGGGGGCCGCGGGCGGCGGCGGACGAGGAGGAGGCAGCGGCCACTGCGGGGTCCCCACTGCTCCCCGGGAGCCGCCGCCCAGACCCGGAGCCGCGCCGCCGCCTGGCTTTGCCTGCGCTCCTGAGGATTTGTCAGCCAGATGTGACAAGATTGTGGCGAGGCGAGTGAAGGAGATCTGATACTAATCAGCGCGTAGCTCCGAGCCAAACTTCCTCAAACGCGGTGTAGAAACATGTTCTCATTTAAGGCTTCTCTTTGTGGCTGCGGGGCTGCCACCGCTCCGAGTCTGACAGTTAAATGCAGTGCCATCTCCCAGCCTTAATTGTGTGAGTGAAGTGGTGTGCGTTCGGGGGGATCCGACACTCGGGGTGCAGTAACGTCCCCTGGTTTTCTGGCCGTGCTCGCCGCTTCCTCCGAAGGCCAGGGCATTTAAATCTGCCCAGACGCCTGGTCTCAGCCAGGCCTCTGCTGTTAACACTTAAGGGGCCTAAAAGGGGCCCCACCGGTGTCCTGGGAATCCCTGTCAGAGAGAGTGTGTGTGTGAGAGAGAGAGAGAACATGTGTTACTGCAAGGGGCCACAGAGCAGATGTAGCAACAAGTTTTAAAAATATATATTCTTTTCATCAAAGCGACTAGACTTTGACTTGACAGTAAGTGAATTGAAAAACACCATTTGGCGGATTTTTTTTTCTGGCGTCCTTTCATTCGCTGTTTATTGTTTTAATTTGCTATTTGATTTTATGAGATCGCTTGATAAGATTCTAAGAATCTTCTTAGACTCTTAGTTTGCAAATAGATGTTTATGTATTAAAACTTTTGTTCCGTGATAGATTACTCTTTTCAATGATCCCTTCCCAAATTCGTTTATACACCTTATTAAAACCTTGTTAAAATAGTTTATGTCAAAATAAAATTTTGTACATCATATAAAAGAACATGACTTCAGATGTTACAAATTGTACTAGATTTGATTTGTGCTTTAAAGAGGTGCGAAAAGATAGCTGCCCCTTTTGTGATGATGAATTTTGAGAAATAACTTTATTCTTTTTGGCATACTTTCAGATGGTTAAAACGAATGAGATATGAGTCATCATTTGATTTCTCATCTAATAAGTTTGCTAACTTTAATTTCACCAAGAAACTTACTATTTCAAGTCAACTGTTGGTTGAACATGTTCTTGTAGTTAAATGCTGAGAAGATGTGGTGAAATTTTCACCTAGTACACTTGCTGCTCACACTTTGGGTACTCATAATTGTGTTCAGGCGGCTGCTTAATTTAATTTAAATGTCATCTGTACCTATAGAGTCCCTTCAGACTAGTAAGGATTTAGGGACATTCTCCTCCTTCAGAAAGTGGTTAAAGTTCTTATTTGGCTTTTGATATCCACTAGGATGTAAAACAGTGATCTATTTGCTATGGTTATAATTCACATTAGAAATATTGACCAACATAAAGTAATTGCCTTGGAAGCATGAGGTTTACTAGAAGGCCATTTTATTTTTCATTGCATCTTCCCTATATAGCAGTTAGGCCTGCATTCCAGGCCCATGCCCACTTTTTATACCTCAGGATCATCAGGTTGGAAAGACCATCCAACCCCATGAGAATGAAAAGCCATACAGGTTTCCTTGTGGAACAAAATAATTGTCCCTAAGCACACACTTGTCATTTATGAATGTCTGTGGATAAGTATAAACAGGAACATTTTAAAAGTTCAGTTTGTCACTAAAATTGAACTGCAGCTTATGGGGTAGGGGGCAGAAGTGTCTTTTAGCTTCTGTATATGGCTTCAGAAGTTATTTTGATGTGGCCATTAAAAGGGATGTCCTGAAGTTTCCACAGGGTAAATTATTTACAGGAGTATGTTTCACCCCAGGGTGAATTTTCTCCTCTACAGATGTCATTTAGAGTGCGTTACTTTTGTCAGAAACTGTCCTTTTTTAGAAAGAACCGAAAATACTCTAGCTAAGGTGAAATCTCAGTGATAAGCCACCCATCTTTTTGGTATCTAAAATCAAGATTTAGGGAGTGAGTACTTTTTTTTAATTACCTAATTCCAAGTATTCTACTGCAGAGGTTTTATTTCTTTATCTTTGATGACTTCTCTGAGAGATGTTAAAGATAACTGTATTCTGCTCAAAAGGAGCATCTGGAAAGCGTTTCTTTTTCCTTTTAAACTGGTTTCCACCTGAAAACCTTATTTCTGCATATCTTGTCATTCTTTGAAGTCCTTTTCCTAATTCTGGAAATTCCAAGATTCCAGTGTGGCACCATTTCTCCACACAGACACATGCCTATTTTAGCTAAAGAGGGTAGGTGTAAACAGAGAACAGACTTGCTTCTCCGGGGTCCAATTTGGGGCCTTCTCAAACCTCACATCATTATGGGCAAACAGACTGTCACTGTTGCCGTCCACACATGAACTCATTATTATAAACCAGGCTAACAAATCACAGGAGAACTCTGCCTTGGGGAAATGATAATTTCATTCAGCTAATATGAAATAAAAGAGAGATGTAGAAATAAAATGTGAGGACCAGGTCCAAACAGTCCTGTCCATAGGGAAATAGTTGCTTCAGGTAAACCCTAATTCAGGGTTCTAACTTTTTTTTCATGTAGTTAGATTAGTTTGATTGTCTCCACTTACAGATTATTTGTGTGATCCTACCAAATACTCAAACCTCAAAATTTTTTTCTGGTTGTACGTCAGCTTCCGGAAGTGTTGTCCATGTTCTGTAGTCCTCTAATTGCTTCTTGTATTATTCATTATGAAAGTAAAATTTTTATACTGTCAACTCTAACATTTCATGCTACTTCATGCTGAATTTGAAGAACATGATCAGGATGGCATAATGGCATAATTAACTAAGTTTGATCTTTTCTTTTTAAAAACTTAGTTTTGAAAACCTGGTTTCCACTAAGTCCCCAAAAGAAATATTTTACAAAATTTTACATAGAAATGTTCACAATTTTGTCTTTATTTTATATCAGCAGCAGTAGTGAAGTTGCATTGCTTATGTAATTTAGGTAAAATTATGCTAAAGTGTAAGTGTTTTGTATTGTATTTTGTTTTCTCCTCGGGTTAATTAAGCTACATTCAGAAAGTTCCCTTTACATGCAAGTAACATCTTTTGGCTTTTTTGTTATCAAAGGTTTCTAAAGATTACCTCTGAGGTTTCCCAAGTTTAGGTTATAAAGGAAAAAAATATATCCATATAATTTATATTTCTGCACAGTTCTTAAATTTTTTTAAAGAAGAAATGTTTGACTTGGCTTTTAAGGTAATCTTTGCAGATTTTTCAGCTATTTTATGTATTTTCAGTTTTTGAAACTAATAATTTTAAGAAAAAAAAGCACAGACATTAAATTATTTTGGCACAGGGTTTATACTTTGATTCATAGACATCAAAAGAACAAGTATTTTCCCCATCACTGTCTTTGAACTAAGCAGCAAGAAAACACTACAAATGTGTCGCACATACCTTAAACTCACAGGTAGACTCAGTCCAATATCTGCCACTTGAAGGAGGTCTACCCCCCACCTCCCCTTTCTCTGCCAGACCCTTCTCCATGCCCTCAGTCTTCTTTGGTCTCTCGTTTCATCCTCATACTTGCAGTGAGAAACCAGATTTTGTCCATTCTCCTTTAGTGTTGTATTTATATTGCAAATACTGACTACCTGATTTCTGAGGCTCCCCACATCCCCTTTTAGCCATGTTTGTGGTAAACAGTGCCTCCCCATTGTTTAGAAAGCTAATGATCCTATGAACCCAATAAAGAGACTCCTGGCTGCCCATCTGAACACCCCAGGCCCACCTTATGTTGTCTTTCAAGGTAGGTCTCACTGCCCATAACAGAGATCTGTGGCCCAGGCTCCTTGTCCTGACACACGTGCACATGGTGAGCTTTACTTTGTACCTAGGCTTGTTGTATTTCCTGCATGCACAGATGAGAGCATGCTTTCTACCTGGAGGAAGGTCTCTCTGGCCTCTCTCTACAACCTTGACTTCTCCATTTCTCCTATCTCACTCAAACTATTAAATTTGGGGGACAGTAGGAGTTTGACTTATTTTTTTCACTTTTTGTTACAGAAGATTTCAAACAATCAAAATTAGAACTGCTTAATGAAATTTGGTAATATGTGCTTGGGGAATTCAACAGTTATCAACTTTGGACTAATTTCATTTCATCTATATTTCCTACCCATTCTCCCCATCATAACCAACACTGGATTACTTTAAAGCAAATCCTAGGCTTTATATAATTTCAGTCACATACATTATAATATGAAGCTCTGAAATACAAAGCCTCTTTTTAAAAAAACCAGAGCAATATACCATGGAGCACCTAAAAACTTATCAATAACTGTAATGTCATTAAACTTACAATTGGTGTTTAAATTTCCTTGATTACCTGATAAACTTTATATTACAGATGGTTTCTTCAAATCAGGACTCAAGTAAGGTCCATACATTGTCTTTTTTAATATATAGGTACTTTTTCCTTGCAATTTATTTGTTGAAGAAGCTGAATCATTTGTTCTATAGAGTGTTCCCTGGTCTGAATTTCAGTGATGATTTCCTTGTGTTATCCTTTAAACATTCCTCTGTCTCTTGTATATTCCTTCATTGGAGTTGAGCAAAAGGCTTGATCCAGTTCAGGTTTGAACTTTTTGGCAACAACACCAGATGTGTGGTGGTATTTATCCTTCAGTACAGAGGCAAATGGCCTAGTTTTCATATTTTTCATTAGGAGTTATGGAATGGTGGTATTCTAGTTCTTCGTTTATTTGATCCACATTCAAAGAGAATCTTTGTCTCATCAATGATTTTTTTACTTTGAAATATAGGTTATATAGAAAAGGATACATACTTGATTCTTTTCCTTTGTTGACCAGCTTTGAGAATAGTTAGTTCGTTTCCTAGCATTTTCTAAAGGTGGCCAGTGAGTTTTGTTTGTTTTGAGTATATTTAGAATTCCTAGATTTTAACACAGTGAATGACTCATGCTAATATTTGGCAAATCATATTCTCTACTCTGCTGTTCTTGACCAACCCAGTTGTATGACTTTTCTTGCAGACGAAAACATGTGCTCCCCTATTCTCAGACACTGGGAATTACTCATCTTTGCATCTCCATGAAGCGCCCCATGGTTACCAAGTACATGGTAGATGCTTTTGAAGCAAACAAACAAATAAAAACCTTATTAAGTAAATGATTATTTTGTTAAACTACTAATGGAAGATGATGGCATGATGTGTTGAGCGTCTGCCCCATGTGTGTTTCTCAAGTTCAGCTAAAGTCTGATGCTCTCAGCTGCAGATAAGCTGCCCCACATTAAAGGACTTGATGGGTTTTCGCCTCCCTTCTTCTCGG